GCTGGCCAGGAGGTGAGGGCTTCAAGAGAGGGTTAATAAATTGAGCAGGGAGTTTTTCATGGAAAGGAGCAGACTTTTTTTTTTTTTTTTGATGACGAGTTCCTCTGTCGCCAGGCTGGAGTAAGAGGGGAAGTGTTTTCAATAGGGGAGTTATCTTGGTGCTGTTATTCCTGGACCTTTTTTTTCTTGAGACAGGAATCCCTCTGTCGCCAGCTTGGAGTGCAGTGGGCATATCAGGCCTCCAACTCTACCTCAGGCTTCAGATTTCCTGCCTCAGTCGTAAAAGCTAGTACAGGCGGGTGAAGCAATTATTTTATTTTTGAGCAGGGTTTTGCCAATTGACCAGGCTCGGCGGTCCTGGGACATGTGTGGTTGCAAACCTGGAGGCAGGTGCTGCTGGCCATCTAGTGGGTAGAAGACAGAAGGCTGCTAAGTGCCTATATAAGGGCGGCCTCCACAACAAGGAACTATCCGGCCCCAACTGTCAATACTGGAGGCAGAGAAACCCTGACGTTTAGTCTTTGACATTAACTTCTAGACAAGTCAAACATGCAATAGTGAACACAGAATGAAAAGATGATCATTCTCCAAACAATTCACAGTGCTTTCACAATGGCCCTTTCGGCATTATTTCTTAATATACCAGAAGCCTTAGAAAGTGGAAATGGCCAGGCCACTTGAGGCTGCAACGTTCCCCCTGAGCCCCCGAACAGGGAGTGCCAGGCTCTAGGCCTTTATTTTTTTTTTAATTATTCCCCCGAAACAGGGTCTTGTTGTGTCACCCAGGCTGGAGAACAAGGGTTGATCGTTGCTCACTACAGCCTCAACTCCTGGGCTCAAGTGATCCTCCTGCCTCAGCCTCCTAAGTAGTTGGGACTACAGGCACATGCCACCATGCCTGGCTATTTTTTTTTTGTAAAGACAGAGGTATCCCTATTGTTGCCCAGATAGTCTCAATCCTGGCCTCAAGCAGACCTCCTGCCAGCCTAGCCTCCAAAGTGCTGGGACTACAGGTGTGAGCCACCATATTCAGCCGGATCTAGGCCTTTACCAAGTGGGTGGGCTGGCACTGCAGGCACTGCATTTGTACATGTTAACTTCTTTATAGCAGGCCCAGAGAGCCTGGGGACTAGCAAGTGGAGTGCAGGTGCCTGTACTCATACTTTAATAGGGGTGCAGGGACTACCATCATCCCTGGCCTTTACCGTCCTGCCGTCACTATAGCTGATAAAGTTCTAGGCCAGAACTCGCTTGACCTCTCCACTTTCTCATGATTTCCAGGTAACTCCTGGGATTTTCTTCTGGCAGTTTTGCCTGGGGAGAAAGGGAGCCTGCACCCCCAAAGCCAGGCAGTCATTCCCTGGGCACACGGTGACTCTTTCCTGTACTTTTCACCCTTGCAGAGCCAGAGCCTCTCTGTGCTGGGCGGGGCCTTAAGGGTCAGGGTCCCTAAGTGACGCCACCAGCCAGTC